TAATATGGAAACGGTCTCCAAACAAATGCCGCGTATTCTAACCTGGACTTAACACAAGACGAGAGTATAAGGATCGAAAAACGGAGAACAATTTCGACGAATAAAGGCCAACATTGCGAACGATTTAGAAACAATATAATTTATATAGGTGGTGAAGTTGAGCTTGGAGTAAAAACAGCCACATGGTTTCTAAATTCACTAATTGTTTTGAACAATACTTAAAACTTTCGAACAAGAATTCTTGTGACATTTACTAATGTTGAGAAACAAACGATTACGCACACACCAACTATATAAGTTATTCAACTCACGTTGGAGAATACATGAATCTTCTGGACATTTAATTTCATAATGAATCTTCAGTTCACGCACATACGGATGAAAATTACAGTTGGGAAAATAGTAGGAAATAATTTTAAAAAAGAGGACAAATACGGTTATCATTGAAAACTCCAGCAGAAAGATATGTGCTGAAAATGTGCCTTAAAGGCACATTCTCTATGAAAAGAAATATTTTTGAAATTTTTTTTCTCGAAAAAGGTGTCACATACAAATTTTTAATAAAAAAAATAGTTTTTGATAATATGCCACCTCAGACAAAATTTAAATAAATCACAATGGTACCTCTGAGCATTGCGATATATATATGTATAGTATTATGGGGCGCACTCTAAAATAATTTTAACTATGAATTTTTTGTTACACCGAAGTTGAGTAAAATGAGTACATTACAAATTTATACATTTTTATTAGCTTATTGAATTTTATAATAAAAAAGTGCAAGTTTTAAGCTACTGTAAAATTGCGTTGATTTTTAATATTTTTTATGCCGACGGCTTTTTGCACTTTTTCCTTATGGAAGAAAATACGCAAAACCGTTTTCAAAGAAACAACAAACAAAAAAAACGCCAGTTTTGCAATCGTTTCAAACTTGCACTTTGTTATTCTAAAATTTAATGGGCTATAAAACTGCATACTGGAAAAAGTTAAAAACAAAGTTTAAAAATAAAAAATTTAAATTTGTAATATACTCATTTTACTCAACTGCGGTGTAAAAAAAATTTATAACTCAAATTACTGTAGAGTGCACCCCATAATACTATACTCGCAATACTCAGAGCTACATACCATTGTGATTTAAATTTTTTTTTTGTCAAGGCATATTTTCAAAAACAAATTTTTTTTATAAAAAAAAGGAAACAATTTTAGAAATATTTCTTTACATAGAGAATTTTGAAGTGTGTATGTGTGATTTTTTTTCAAACTCTTTCCTCGCCCCGTTCTCGAGATATTTGGAAAATTATTAAATCGATTTGTTTTTGTTTTTGTGCTGTAAAGTTTTTGAAAATGTATTAATCAAGCTGAAATTTAAGTTTATGCAACAACCCTAAAAATTTTAAACAAATCAAACACATGACACCGTCCGGTTTGGTATGGAACGCCCCATGTATGTACATACATACTTCAATATAAATTCATAAATTAAACAGTCTCATTAAAAGGCTATTCTATTCAATTAGCGTTGATAGCGAAGAAGTAAAAGAGCTTTGGTTAAAACAGTTGCAACTTACGCTACTCAAAGTTGTTTATTATTACGAAATAAAATTCTTATAAAACTCTGTCACATACTTAGAAGAATCACATTACAAATGCACGCGTGAGGTTGCCTTATTGCAACTGAAGTATCCAGTTACAACTCTGTACAATCGATTGAAAATTTGCGTGAGAGCTAGCTTAAGTATGTATGTACTTATTTTTTGCCATAAATTTCCACAGTCGAGTTAATGCCGCGATTATATTGACTCTTCAAATTGATGGAGGCAAAACGATAGCCTGGACCGCCGGACCACAAACTCGCGTAAGCGCCAGAACTATTTGTGAAGCGATCGTAAATGTAAATGGCTGAAATAGTGCGGTTGCTGACTTGACACTGGAAAAAAAGTGTTGTGAGTATTATTAAGTAGGAGCTAAATACTAACTTTTATCGGCAAGTAATTCTCTAAAATTCTGTATGAAAATACTTACTTGTTTTTTTTTTACTCTAATAAAATCCCTTTCCCAATCCAACTCACCGATTTGGGGAAATCCACATTAGCACTTTGGTATCCATTCTTAAGCGGTGTACGCACGACGTTCTCACGTAGCAATAAAACATCCGACGAATAACGAGTACCCCACGAGCTGTTGGCAGCAATGGCAACGCTAGCCAAAGCGACAATTAGGAAGAGTATGCTAACAAGAATAGGCTTCATTTTGTTTAACTGGGTTTTGGATTTTTGCTATATTTTTACGATATTACGATTTTGGACTCAGTTGTGTTAACACAAACTGTTTAGTTAATACTGTTGCTGTTAGTCGGCATTATGTTGGCTTTTTATATGCCAATCGTTTGAGTGTTTTGATAACACAGCTTTTATATTTATCTTTGCAGATTTCGCGAAGTGTTGAAGATAACTGATTATTTCCCACTCTCTTGCTACAGTTGTTTTTTTTTAAAGTGAAGCGCTTTGATTGCAGTTATTCGTCCCTCTCTCAAGCGTTCAAGTTCAAACACACCACAGGTGTTCTTATCGTTTATCAGTATTGGGTAGCGTTATCTTTCAAGCAAATATGAGCGGAGTAAGTGAGAGTCATAGTATCTTCCTTACCTTTAGGCAATGTTGCCAGATTAGTTTAAAAAAAACTGTGAATTCCCAGGAAAAAACTGTATTTTCACCCAAAAAAATTAACCTGTAAAAGCAAAGGCATTTTTGGAATATTAACGGCTTTTAGCCGTATTTATTTCACAAATATATTTAGCGGGGTTGCCACGTATTAAAAAAAAATGTCAACTTAATTCATCAGTTACTTTAAGTATTTATAACTTTTAAAGGGGTTGCTGCCTGTTTTGAAAGTCGTATTACTTTTAAAGGGGTTGCCATCTGTTTGTAAAGTCGAATGAAATATCGAAATATTAATGTCAAACGAAAGAGTTTTAAGAAAACTTTAGGCTGATAATATTTTTAGTTAGGGTTGCCATCTATTTTTTGAAGATCATCACATCTGCACCGTTATTTCGAATTAACAAAATGAGAAGTAACATTAAAGAACTCGGATTCTACATAGATGTTTTATTTTTTGAAGTTAGAAGCTTTTTAGCGGTATAGGTAGATTTGAAATGCGATGAAATGAAAACCGATGCCATACGAAAGCTCTCATCACTCAGAAATGGTTTAGATGAATCATTAGGACCATTTTTGAGATTTTTGAATAGGGTTTCAGCTGTTTAAAAAGTTGAATTCAATTTTGGCGTTTTAACGCCAAGCGTGTTCACTAGTTTTAATACAATTACCAAAGGCCTGGCTTCATTGTAAAATTCCTCTCCGTAAGCCGCCATTTTTCCGGATGGGATATTGACGTTATAAGTCAATGTGTGTTCATACATACATCGTTATTTGCCTGAATATACTATACTTATAATATAATACTCAGCTAAACACATCAAAAAAAAGAAGAGAAAGAGTACTATGACTAAAAAAAATTATTTATATGTATTTGCCCAATTGAATTCAATTGTTTTCAGATTAAGATAATACGATTTTGATTGCGAGAAACCCCGTTTCTTAATTAGGCACTTAATTTGCGAATTTCAGCTGAAAATATACCATAAGTGATTGCAGATAAAAACAAATTCCGCGAAAAATATCACGAAAATATCACTTCATCGTTTCCCCTAGCTTACTAAACTTTCCGCGTGCCTGGTGCAGTCTGAAAGGGCCGACTTATTTTCAAAATATCACAACTATTCTAATAAAGGTGTCAGCGATATAAGAACGTTAGTAGTGAAGTTCGTTTCATATGCAGGCCAACGCCAACATAAAGATCGATCAAAAGCTTACGAAGAAAAAAAATCCTATGTTTTTTATAATAACAGGCGTGATTATAGATTTGCTTTACTTATTTATTAAGAAGCAATAATCTATTTTTAATAAAACGAATCGTCCCACTTTGGGGTCTTCTGAATACCACCGGACCCTCGACGCTATTTTGTTCACCAGGCTTGCGGAAGGTTAAACGTTTCCCCCTTTTCTTTAACCACTTACGCGCATACAGTGACTCAAACAAGTTACCACGTGTTGATTTTTTTTAATCCTCACAATGTTTTCTAAGTTAATTTTTTTTTGTACAGGATGACGCTCGCATAACAACGGCTTATTGTTAAAAAAAACACGCACACACACACAAACAACAGCAAGCATCAAAAAACATGAAAAGGTTGTCGAAAAAATATGCGACTGAACAAAAAGGTGGAACCTAAGTAAGCGAAAAAAAACAAAATGGAAAGAGTTGAAAAAGTGTATGACTGCAGAGGAGCATTTCCATTTGAGTACTTCACAAGGATGCGTCATAATTTTTATTCACTCTTCAAACTTGTAGATCTGTTTTACGTGCTTTTTCAAGTTTATATTTACATACATGCATACATGTATACGTATGTATGCCTTTGTAGTTACTGCTCGTTATGATGACAGCCCAGCCAGGACACATCAGAGCATATCCGGGCATATCAGTCAAATCATACAGAAGATTTTTCCTTTTTTGTTTTGCGCATTTAAAGTGATATATCGTTTATAGTGGTTCTGTTGGTAGGTTGGTGACGAAAAACGAAGACATGTTGATAATGATGAAGGAGATTGGTGGTGATAGCTTTGGTAGATGTTCAAGCAACTTCTGTTGCAGCTGGCAACCATGGTGATAGTAGATATTTTACGGCGTAACTGTCGGATGTACCACTGCCGTTATTTGTCATGTCATTTCATATGCCCTGCACGAACGAAAAGGGTTGTATTGGAAAAATTAGTAGTGAGAGTGATTTCGCTTTTTATGCGGCGAGTCTTGATTACTGCCGGTGAGAGGAAATTTTATGTATGGGTATGTACAGTAGCGATAATATAAAGAGGGAATAGACATTTTAGAATTGTTTGACCTTTTCGCTTTCGTTTATTTAACGTAATGTAAGCCAAAAATTTAAAACTTCGTATATAAGTTTGCAAAATTCGACAAAGCTTCATTAGAATTTTGAGCTTTTTAATTAGATTTGCAATTTTTAAGTATCTAGGACTTACAGTTGATTTTTGGCATTTGGTATGGAAGAAAATGTGTGAACAAAAAATTCCCAAAAATCAACGGTAAGTTTAAGCTACTTCAAACTTGCTCTTTGCTATACTAATATATTAAATTTAATGGGCAACAAAACTGATCAAAAAGTTTTAAATTTTAATGAACATTTATTTAAAATTCGTCGAATTTTTATAAATGTTCTACAAATTACAAAACGGGGAATTCCAGAAGAAAGTAAAATAAAAAATAAATCAAGTATTTCGAGATTGTTAGCCTTACAACATTTATTTAGGCGAAAAAGTATCGAAATTATTAATTTCTTCATTGCCATTTGGAATAATCATAATTGTTTTTTTTTAATAACTTTGGGAAGTTTTCAAATAGAATGCTCACATTAGAGACCATATACGTTGGTATCAAATACAACATATCTGTGAAGTTTCAAGAGTGTGCCACAAAATAAAAAAATAAAAAAATGGCAGCATGCAGAATATCTATCGCAGCTACTTTGTAATTTTTGAAATTTTACCATTTTTTAATTTGAATAATTTAAGATACCCTGAATTAAACGGGAAAAATGTTCATATTGCCAAAGCGAACGAATCTAGTGAAATTAAATCTTCCAAGCCAATATTTGATTACTTTTTAATAAAATGATTAATCAGCAAACAAAAAAACCATTAACTGCAATTTTTGAGAAATAATCGATTGATCGAATTTTTAAGGCACTTTTTTGCAGTGAGTATTCACAAAAACACTTATCCATAAAAAAATTCTAACTGTGATATGAAAACATTTAAATGAGGAACTCATCAAGAAATCACGGCTCCAAAGCTTAACTGGCATTTATTCGCACAAAAAAAAAAATAAAAATTTCAAAACAAACAAAAGTTATTATTGCCTTAGGGAAATTCAAAAACAAAACAGAACGTACATGGCTTTTGCAAAGTGCAACGAAAGTGGTAAAATAAAGCTTTTGAAAGCTTCTGCAAATATTTTGCCATACTCTTTAGCTATCGTAAAAAAAAAAAAAAATATATAAAACTGGTTGCATTTGCCGCCAGTGCGATTTTTGTGAAGACCGTCTAGAGGCGGGCTTGCGCATTAGAGGGTTAAATTAAGGCGTGGAATGAAACGTGTTGGATGACTGCGTACGGTTCTACGGGGCGTATACGTTACATACGCAGCTGCAGGTATATGAGCACGAGTGGTTATTTTTACTTTTTACGAGCTTTTATTTGACTCGCTCTGTATGTATGTAAGTATGTGTGTTAGTGGCAAGTGTTGCAATAAATTCTTGACCAACTCTCCGATGATCTACAAACTTGAAACTTCACAGTTGGCTCAGTACCCGATGACGATGCAATACGAAAGATGAGTTAATTCGATAGGTGGCGCAGAAGTCGGGATATTTGAAAAATCCGTGTTTATAATCCGATTTGGTTCATATTTAAAACGTATGAAAGGAAAAGGAAATAACTCCACTAAAAATTTTTAAGTTAGGTAGCGAACGAGTCGAACGAGAACGAACGAAACCAGTATTTATCGTCCGATGTTTGATAAAAAAAAAGTTATTTTAACAATTAATTTATTTTAGTATATCTTTTTTAAGTTTTCATTTAAATACAATTTCGCTATGGAATCTTGTTTATACAAAACTGAAGATAATGCATTTTCTAAGACCCATTTTCGACTATTCTGAAAAAAATTTCTTATTTATAAAGGTGCAGAAGTTATGCGTCAAGGACAAAAGCTTTACAATTTAGCATTAATTTCATTATATAATTCTTAAAAATTGGAACGTTACAGTTTTTTTAGTTATTACAATTGTACGGCGTATAGAAATTTGTGAAGGGAAAAAGCTCTTTTAAATAGAAGACCGGTATTAAGGTCTCTAAAAACATCAATCTGCGTCAGTGTAATGCTTTCGAAATTCTGACGAACGATTTAAGGTTCTATCTGATTAAATTACCTCATCTATGGCTGCACGAAGCACGCTGGTAAGCACTCGCTAACCAGACGTGAGGAACTTTCGGGTTTGACATTTTAACCGCTTTAATTTAACCTAAACTAAGAAGACTTCGCGCACCATTGCAATGTCACATTGCTCCGAAATGCTTAATTTTCTATGCACCTAACTAGCTTTTAACAAACTTCGATGAGGATATACGCTAACTTTTATCATTAGAACGTGCATAGGTGCAATCTACTCGTATGCATTTGACATAAAAAACTAAGTTTGAAGTACTTTTTTGCAGATAAATTTTTCATAAACTCTGCTATACACATAACTCTGCAAGATATTTTTTTAAATTTATTATCTCAGCATGCAATTATTTTCGAAATTTTCTTTCCCTACAAGGTCATCAATT